ATGTATATAGCACTATTTAACATTTGATTAAACTGTGATGGACATTTGGTTTGTTTCCAGTTTCGGAGTATGAATATTCACGTTAGTCTTTGTGTTGACGTATGTTTTTATTTTTCCTGGGTATATACCTAGGAGTGAAGTTATGTTTAAAAAACCACCAAACTTTTTTCCAAAGTGGCTGTATTTTACATTTCCATCAGCCATGTATGAGTGTTCAACTTTCTCCACATTCTCTACCTCTTGGTATTGTCAGTCTTTATGATTTTAGCTGTTCTAGTTAGTGTGTAGTGGAATCTCATTGTGGTTTCAGTTTTGCATTTGCTTAATGACTAATGATATTGAGCATTTTTTTCATGTACTTATTGGCCACTAGTATATCTTCTTCAGTGAAGTTTCTTTTCAAGTCTTTTGCCCTTTTGTGATTGGGTTATTAGTCTTATAATGAAGTTATTTATAAGATTCTCTATACAAGTGTTTTATCAGAGGTATGATTAGCAAGTATTTTCTCCCAGTCCGTAGCTTATCTTTTCATTTTCTAATCGTTCCTTTTGAAGAGGAAAATTTAAACATGTTGAAGTCAAATTTATCAATTTTTTTTCTTCCAAGGATCTAGCTTTTTAAGAAATCTTTGTCTAACCTGAGGTCACAAAGATCTTTTCCTGTTTTCTTCTATATATTTTGTAGTTTTAGGTCTTACATTTAGGGATATGATACATTTTGAATTAATTTTTGTGTATGGTGTGAGGTAAAGAGTCTAAGTTGTTGTTCTGCTCCTTCTCCACCCCTTCCCCCTTCTCCTTTTCCTTTTAATTCTTCTTTACATAAGCATTTAGTTCTAGTTCAAATAGAATATTCTTTTACCACTGAATTGTCTTGGCATCCTTATCAAAAACCAATTGATCATAAATGTTTGTAAATAAACATTTCTTGTTTCTTTATTCTGTTCTATGGGTTAATAAATCTATCCTATGCTAGTACCACATTGACTTGGTAATGGTAGCTTTATAGTAAGTTTTGAAATCAAGTAGTATAAGTTTTCCAGGTTTGTTTTTTCTTTTCAAAAGTGTTTGGGCTTTAATTGTCATTTGCATTTCTATATAAATGTTAGGAACAGATTATCAGTTTCTACCAAAAAAAAATTTGTTAAGATTTTAATAAGAGTTGTGTAGGTCCTGAGGAGATTGCCATCTTAACTATGTTGAATCTTTCCATTTTTTGAATATGAGATATTTCTTTAATTTGTAGCTGTTTGTAGTAATGTTTGGTAGTTTTCAGGGTATAGGTCTTGAACTTCTGTTAATAAATTTATTTCTGAGTATTTTGTTTTTTGGATGCTATTGTGAATGGAATTATTTTCTT